GATCCAACTTCTCTAAATGATATTTACTTCCGCCGAACTTGTAATCCAGTTACTCGTTTTATAGTCTGTTACATCGTATAAATAGGTTTCTGTATTACAACTAAGAATCGAACTTCTTTCCGAAAGTTACATTCGTTAAATGAGTCACATTTTACCGACACTATTTGTAATTTAATATTATTGGTATCCAGTAATATAATGTAGGACTATATTAATAATACAATATAATAGGTAATCATCAATGAGTGTTCAAATGCTCCTCGGTATTGAACTGTAAAATGTATATAACTAACATAAATCTTCGATATGTATTTATTTAATGTTTATTATAGCCTCAGATTAAAAAGTTTAAAAAACGAATTGACGTGTGTCTGGTTACGTACTGCCTATTTCACTATGGCGCGTAAATTCAGTCAATCTCCTAATGCCTCGTCACATTTATCTCATACTGGACCAGTGTCCCAATTCTTATGAATGGTAGAGTGTATTGCAGGTGCGTATCTCGTCGAAACTGCAAACACTATTGCGGACTCAATCTCCAGGTCCACACGGGCATGATAAACACGTATGAACGTTGGAGTATCTGGGCTTTGTCAAAAGAGCCGTCCACGAATGTATGTATATTCGGTGGAAGAGTGGTTAACCGATCGTGCAAAGCGTTGCGGATGCCTGTTTCGACGATGGATTTCGACCAGCTACCGCGCAAACACAACGGTCGAATCAAAGGGACGATTGATGATGTCGGTGTGCTGGTTCTCGAATTTACCGTTCGGGGGAGCGCCTATGAATGTGCCAACGGACATCGAAACTAATTAATACAGGTGTAAATATAATGAAAATAACCGGTAAATCATTGTTTATCTTCACGACAGATCGGGGACCAGGTATGTAGACTGGCGTCTGAAAGCATAGTCTGTCACTCAGAAGAAAAAAAACAGCCGGGCAATAACGTGTACACCCCGTATAATTGGAATATGAGAGATTAAAGAGGACGTACAAAGCAATTTCCGTGATACTTGGTGTGCAATGGATTGGATTGGGATCCGGAGCGATAGAATGAGAAATCGCGGAGAACAGCAGCGCGGCCGTTTGTGGTGGAATTGGCGATGATCCAGGTACTTCGGGGATGGTGGTTCTCGTACGTGCTGATAATGCAAGCCCCAACCAATGAATTGTCGTCGAAGCCAATTCATTCTTTTAGTCGCGAATTCGCGAATCGTTTCGCGTCGATTTCCCTTCCGGCAGCCCTCGGGGGAGAATCGACTCAGGTTAGCACAACAGATTGGCCATCGACCTTAACTTTCCGTTCATTTGCCCCCCCCCCCCACCCCTTCCTATTTGGTATCGTCGGGGCTTAAACCATGGAGGAACCACCCCTGCCTCCCGAAAAGTTCCCCAATATCTTCCGTCCGTTTATAAAATTCTTAGGAAACTCTGAAAGGAGGGGGAAAGGGGGTGGCTCGTGCAGGATGTATAAAATACAAAACATCCTTCGCCACTTTCGGGGCACACACAGAGAACGACGATGCTATCGTGAGTCCAGGAAGTAGCTCCGGGGGTTAGGGAAAGTTTCGCAGGCCGCAGGACCTCGTGAACTATGCGGAACGCGCTTGAGTTGTACTACACGGGATAACATCGGGTTTCATCCATGATGGAAATCTCGAATATATGTACAAGGCTGTTCGTCGACGAGCAGAGAGAAAGAAAAAAAATACTTGGACCTGTTCAGGGGATTACTGGGCAACAGAAGCTTCGGAGTTAGGGAATCCTTTTTCTTAGACTGTCGCCAGGTGTAGGGGAAAATTTGTTGGGTCCACAAATATATGCATTGATTTATAGCCGTCGAGTTCGATTTCTAGTGTTTTAATACAGGCTAAGAATTGACCTGTTTCGTAGAAAAATCTTTGCACCGTCGTCAGTGCCTGTAAAAGCTCCGAAGTGGTTGGACCTACGCCAACATCAGGGCCGATGCACTTTCGCATCTGTCCCAGCGTATCGATCGGTTGGTCATCCCATCAACGAACCCTCCAAGGCGATGCTAATGGTCAATTGCTTGCAAACAGTTTGTCTAGCTTTCGCATGATAATTACGGGAACGTTTCGGCGTTTAAACAGTGAAATGTCGTCGTGGAACTTATATTTCTGAAAATTAGTCCATGAAACGTTGGACCACCCGGTATACAAGTAATTTTCCCACGGATAACTCGATTACAGTTAAACAGAGTTTATAAATACGACAGGAGGTAAGACTCTGACGCGTGCTATGAGTTAACAATTACGTATGGTCCTCGAGGGAGTACTCTTGGCGCGTAGTCGGGAAGGCAAACGGCAGGAATCGTGGGATTGCTTATCTTAGGATTAGCATCGGGTTCCTTCGAGACCAAATTGCCTCGAATTCGCCACGAGAAAAACAGCGTAACTGGCCGCGAACGTCGGTTGCCTGTTGCGTTCCACTGCTTCTAACCGACGATCTTCTTTTTCTTTCTGCCCGTACCTTACTCCCCCATAAATAAACGTACTTTGGTATTTCGAATGGCCGTTTCGTGGCGGAAGTTCCGTAATTGCTGTGTATCGTGGAAGTTTCGTTTGGCGAGTCGGTCGTTCACCGGAAAGGTAAATATTTTGCGTGAGAAGTATTCGATCGGAAAGTTTTCTTTGGCTTTTGTTCTTTTAAACAGAATTTGTAAGACTGACTAAAGAGTATAAAATAATTTTCCCTAGCCTCATAGTCACTATAGGTAATACATAGGTTCGTTCAGTAATAAATAGTAATAATAAAATATCCTTATCTGCACTGGAGAAAATGTTTCAGATTTAAATCATAAAGATCCGTCCAGTCTAAACTATGAATATTCTTTTCCTTTCTGATCTCCCCTTAATATTCCGTGGACATTATTCGCTTTCGCAGTCGAGAATCCATTTAATTTGCTTAGTTATAAATGAGTTTCCCAAGACGTTACGAGTCCTGGTAATTTTCCCTTCCTCTTAGAGTGTTTTAATGACATCGTAAAATGAGAATACTCGGTTCTTCCATCTTTCTGTTACCATAAGACTCCTTCGGGTTTAACTCGACCGTCATTTTGACTTTCCAGCGTAAAAGACCGAACAATCGCGAGGTTCGTAACAAAGATAATCCGTCTTGAAAGGAAATTCGGAAATTAAGTGAAACATCACTTCCTTATGATTTAGGATGGTATCTACTACCTAATAGAAACTTTCAAATTAAATTAAATTTATTAAATTAAAAACTGAAATTAAATTAATAATTGATTAAATTAACGTTATTATCGTGTCGTTCTAAACAGAGAATAATATTTAATTAGAAAGAGTGGGTACAATGGTGGAATGTCCTTTTACAAATGAAACTTCTCCATTTCGTTTTTATTGCATCCTCCTCAATCTTGTCGACATGATTTATCGACTCTCGGTACACACTCGATATTCAACGAACACACCGTGCGCAATTTTATGGTTTCGCGATCTGAAATTCGGATCGCGAGTATATACGGCGTGATCGGCGGCGGAGCATACGCCTGATTTAGCCTGCTGCGAGGGCAAGGGGTTCGGTAAACTGGAACGGGGAATCGTCCGCCATTTTACTACGGTCTTTGAACTGTCGTAAACCGAAAGAACGCGCTCGTTCCACCATTATTTCTTTCCGCGTGTTTGCATTATGCAGCGAGTTTCCGAATTCTAAGGTTTCTTCGTGCATGCTTATGGTAACGGTGTTAAACATTCCGTTCCTTTTCTTTATTTATAGGTGTTTAGTGCCCTAAAATTACCTGCCTGTATTGGTTAAGACAATCTGGGACTAATGAAGTATTGCATAATAATTCAAAATTATTTTACCAATTAACTTCGTTTCTTTGTGAAATCTAAGCTGCTTGAAGTTTTCTGATCCGAAACATTTCTGAAAGTTTCTGAAATGAAAGATATTTACTTATCTTGAGAAAGTAAGAACACAGAGGTATTTCGTTAATATTTGTTAATCTTTCAATTGAGCGATCACATAGAACTACTCTCGGAGAGTCTTCGCATTTGGGTTTCCGGTTGAATAGGTCCACCGAACAGAGAGTCGATGCTTTCGTTTTTTTTAATCAAAGTGCAATCGGCTAGTTCAATTTGTCTGCAACCCCAATCGCACGGTGTATTTTTTCGTTCATGGCTACAATAGAAGCTAACGCGAAATAAAGTTACACATCGTTTCCAAGAACCATTCATGTTTTTTTCCGGCTGTTTAATAGTTTGTTCACTTGTTTGAAAAATCACAATTATACACAAATGAGTTATTCTATAAATCTAGAACAACATAATTCCTTTCATTTCCATTAGACTGCGTGTTTTGCTATCCAGTTCAGGTACGAGGTGATGCGTGTGTACACGGAAGGATAGACCGTACTGGCACAGTTTCTCGACCAGGATACGAGTCCAGCCAGTTTTCCATTTACCATCAAAGGACCACCAGAATCGCCCTACAAATGAGTATAAATAAAAAAAATATACATTTTCTCCGATGAAGACAATGTTCAAACACGAAATATTTTGTGATACTTGATAGAATTCAAAACACATAATTCGTGCCCATATCTTTTAGAATTCTTTATAATTCATTAACGAATGAAAAGTTACGAAGGTTTAAAATGCTGAACAGGATACTAGAAAACTAAGATTTATTATTAAATACGGTAGTTCTAGTGTGAATTTTAATTTTAAATTTGACTTTATCAGTTGACAAGTTCTAGAGTTTACGAGAGATGGAGTTAATACTGCATTTTCAGAGGATCGTTATGTATTCTTCGGTGAAATTCGTTTAATTTTAACTCTGACGGTTGCTTAAGCGATAATTGAAGCTTAAGAGATTTCATTGCGATTGTACAATTTGAATTTTAAGGGTGTAGATCTGATAAATTTCAATTAAATACGAAGGCAATGAAGTACAATTACATGGAAACTTTAGGTCTTACGAAGTAAATTACCGAAGGAATTAATTAAGAAACTGACCTTGCAATGTCCTCTGACAGCAGTAGGATCGTATGCACATAGGTGTGTACTGTAAATATTTTTAGACGGGTTGTATATATTTCTGCAATAGTCCTGTTTAGCCACCGTGATATCCACCCAATGAAGAAGATCCGTTCTATCTCCTTCGAACTATAAGATTGCGTGATTAGACAGAGTTTACACGTCGAGGTACAGGTTAGTACGATAATAAATTAGCTATTCTCGCTTGTTCTTCAGTTTCGAATAGAATTCAGTGTAATATTTACCGCGAGTCTGCCGAATCCGGAAACTATAGCCCGATCATTAGCTTTAGCGATGTCTGCGGACGATGGCATGGGAACGGGAGATATCAGAGAAGACTTGTCGAACGGAGTTATTACCTGTATATAACAATTTACATAGTTAGCTACGGTGACTAATATTCGGACATATTTTATTATAGTAGTAGTATATAATTACATAGTAATTAACAAAAATGTTAGATGACCCGGAAATAAGAGATTCGTGAAGTGATTTGAAACAAGTCTCCCATTTCCGGGTCCTTTGAGAAGGATCAAAATTATGACCATTATATACACAGTTGTTCTTGTTGATTACAAGTTTATGAATTTTATTTGCTTTACCATAAAAGAAAAAACATTAATTATAGTGTTTGGATTTACAATTGTATGTACCTTAATCAAAGCGATGTCGTTCACCCATGAATCTGAGGCATTGTACTTTTCATGAATATAAAACTTCTCTGCGAATTTTCTCAACATAGGCCTCTTTAGATCAACTGTGCCAGCAACAATCTTGATGGTTTTTGGAGTTTTGCTGGGAACAATATTGCATATTGATCGAAGGCATACTTTATGTATCAGTCAAGTTTTAATTTAAAATTGTAGAGACTATTCTATTCTTTTTTCCCTAGAAAACTATAATATCAAACTTAAAAGTCATATATTTCACTTGCCTCACTAGACAATGGGCAGCAGTTATAACATAATTTTTGTTAAGAATCGATCCACCACAAAAATGGAACGACGTGTTCATCTGTTGAAGGGATACCTAAGAAAAATTTTATATAAGTTAAGAAATTGCAAGATGACTACAATAACAGGTAAACTGCGAATTATCGTTTCGCAGATATGAGCATTCAACGTGACACGAGTAGGTATATCAAACTTACTTGATAAGGAAACTCTCCTGGCTTCGCCACTGTCCCATTTATGATTCTTGGCACAAATTCACCTGTAATCATTATAACGAAATTATGGAAGGATTCTTACGTTTAGGAGTTTAGGAATACCAATACGCGTTCATGTCATTTTTAATAATTAGAAAGTGCACTTTAAATCTGAAATGTTATGGTTATTTAGAGAAAAATGGCGGCGTCAGAGATAGATTTTTTTATATTCTTTGAAAGAAATATTGTTCTTACAAGAAGTAGTTATTATTTATTTATACATCAACACACACTGCAAAAGTTAATAGATTTTGCTGAAACATTAAAATTGATCATGCGAGCATCTTTACTTAAACTTTAATTTTTATATGGTCACACTCACCGTTTGCCACAGCAAAAATTGCTGGAAGGAAGAAAACAATTAGCGATTTCATCTTGACAGTATGGTGTCAGTACAAGTACGTGATAATGTCTCCAGAAATTATGTCGACGCGCCATATTTATATACTTAGAGCGATTGTCGTTTTCACAAGATTAGATAACTTAATAATTTATCAAAATAACGTATCCGATTTTCTTCAGATTAGATACCTTAATGAATATCTGTGACAGTTAATAAAAAAGGAACTATTTTTTAACAACTAGTTAACAAGTTGTTAAGAATCGTCAATTTATAGATTACAACAAGTTCTGTAATTTAATAAAATAGTTTAATAGACAGTACAATAGTATGACAAATTCGATTTATTATCAGGCGCTTTCAGATTTGAAGCGTGTTCCTCTTTCATTTTAATTATTACTACGAATTAATTGAAAACTAACCCAAATCTACCCACTCTCTCCTACCTTAAACAATCGAATACGTTGGCCAATGGTGTACCTGAAAGGCGCAATCACCGTGGAGAAATCGTCTTGAGGTCACCAAACGTGACCACGATGGATAGTTCCGGAGAGGGTTAGGGGGTGAGGGGTGACCTCCCCCATTATCGCGGATTCCTGACAGACAGCTGTGTGTGGGAGGGGGGCGTTTATCCGTGTTGGTGGAGGGCCGATCGATTCCAGCGCGGCGAAAGGACCCGGTTTGAGAACCGCTGGGGCACACAGGATTCACCTGCGATCGACGACCCCGTGTCCTGACCCTATCAGTGATCCCACCACGGGCTTCAATATCGCCGCGAGATCGCACCTTTGCCGGGGAAACGGTGTCGCTCGACGAGTCTCCCGAGCTTCGAAATTGGAAGGGCTCCGATCAATTATCATGGAATATTATTTCGAAGTGCTGGGGAAGGAATGTACAGGGTGTTCATGAACTAAGACTTCGCGATTGCAACGCTTTGATCATCGCTGTCATCGACGGGTGTATCATATAACTTTTCAGTGATCAATTAATTTTTTTATTGGGGATTGTATTTTGTGATTGCTGATTAGAATATTAATCGTCGGTTAGAGATAAGGATTATTGTAAATGTTGGTGTATGTGGTTCTGATATTGGTGATAAGATCGTTCTGATTTAGAGAGACTATTTTTGTATTCGGTACTACTTTTTTTTTGCACTTAACAGAAGTTGCTTAACATGATCGTCAAATAAATAAACCATAATAAATCATAGTGAAGAGTACACACATAACAGGAAACAGTGCTGGTAGTTTTGATACAGTGAGCAAGAAGAATGAGTGTCTCTCGCATAATTCGCTTGTACACCTCTTTGCCAAGAGCGCTTATTCTTCCCGTGCTACCGTCGAGAGCAAACTCCGTCTGGCTTATTCCACAACCGGAATATTAATGATTCTGTCGCTGCACAACATTCGCGAAACCAGCGACTTTTCAAACGCGACAATAACGACAGTCGTTTAGAGTACTGCACCAGTTAAGGCTTAGCAATTCCGGAACTGATTCACGACATCGTTATCGCGTCTTAAACCGAGACAGATCTGCGTTCGCCTCAAATTCAGAAACCATCGAGGTTTCGTGAGAACAACTAAAGAAAGGAATTTCGAATTCCTCATTAAAATTCAGAGTTCTTCAGTTGTTCTGACTACGACAACATCAGACATGTGATGACGATTTATACAACATATTATTCCTTTTCTTTAAGTCGAACTGAACTAGTGTTTCGCTGGTATTACCATTTAAGATTTATAGTGAACGCGCACTTGCCATAGGAATAGAACTTCTGTTGTATATGGGAAATTATAATATTAACAATGAAGTAATTCTGGAGAGTGGAATCGTCTCAAAATATCGTAAGGCGAGGGATTAAAGATTTCGTATGTGTTGTCCAGGTTAAATGAAATACCATGTGTATCTAATCGTAATATTGACAAAATCAGTTTTAAATAATCAATTCTTATCTCTGTCTAATAAAGCAAGTTTGTCAACGAATATGTGTATTTATAAAATACATAATCTTTATCGCAATATATACTTGAGTTAGGATTATATCGTTTTAGCGATTTGATTGTATAATATGATAAAGTCCCCTTTCGATTTATCGTTTTACCTAATTTTAAGAAACATACAAGTTCAGCTGACTGCACGAAAAATGTCGGCCACCTATACGCAATGACTGTAGTAACGAAACATGGGCTTAGTTTTCGATTAAATCGATGGTAGTTTATGGTGTACACGCGTGCGTTTGAATGCAATTTAGGTCGAGTGTCTGACTATTACTAGGTATTTCTACTTACGTTGCTTATACTCTGATTCAAGTAGAAACAGTGGGTATTACACAGACGTATACATAATGTAGACCTTACATCTGAGTATACGCGTGTTCCACAATTGTCCAAAAATAATTTGTATCGTATTTTCTCGTATTTACACTGGATTACTCCCTTAAAGGAGCAACCAAGTCATCGAAATTCGCCGTTTGAAACACTCGGTCGTCGGATTCCGATACAAAGTGCCGCGATTGCGCCGCGGAGCAATCTCGCCGCGTGTTTTACTGAAAACACAGACCCAGCTGACGATATGGCCGGCAACAAAGAGCTTCTCTCACTGGAAGTACGTTCTTCAGGTCGAGTGATTTTGTTTACGTTCTTTCCGTCGACCAAGATTTTTCTGCGCGTGTCCGTTCGAGCGTCACGATGAAACGGGTTGTATATAATAAGTTTATCTTAAAACTTGACAGCGTGAACACTTCTTTCGAGGAAAACGATTTTTTAGCTGACGGTTTAAACAAGGTGTTAATAAATATAAACGAGTTCTTTGAAGGGTAATTTCTACATGTGAAAATGATGAAACAAGAAGAAGAGTTGCGAGCTGTGTAAACTTTCTTTGTGGTGGTTGTGTTGAATGTCATTGATTTTTTAATTGTGTTGTCAAGGTCAGGTATTGTGAATGTTTTAGTTGAGGGTCATTATTAGTTAATTAATAGGTTTAGAGCTAATAAAGGTCAACTTTTTTACTCAGAATTCAACACTCTGCGATATTCTGATATCAAAAATATAACATTCTATTTAAATAACGAAGTTGAACTTCAAATCTCTGATACACCTTCATCTAAACAAATATTATATATAGTATATAATGTATTCCTCGAAACCAGGCAACTTTTGTATAGAAATGTTGTTCATACAATGCATACTTTCGAAGTTATTTAAGGTGTACAAGTTACGTGGACCACCCTGTATGTATATGTATACATATAGCCAACTACCGGCTCGAAGATGAAAAACGCGCGGAGATACACGTCGACCTCGGGAGCTCAAAGCTTTGATGGTGACTACGGTCGACGCGAATCCTGTTTAAATTACTCGCTCTTTCATAGTTCCGACGGCCTGGAATGTAATACAATACGGAACTAATTGCGTCGGAAATATGATTTTCCATTTGCCTGCTGCGTGTCACTGTCGTTTCCCGTCGACTAACTTTTATTTCGTGCCGTCATATGACGGCTGACAGATAGTTTCCTTTTTTACGTGATCCTCCGTTGGCCGAATGAAAAGCACGGGGCGATATTAAATTGGTATCGGAAGATTTAACCGGATGTATCCTGCGCTTTAAGTTTGCCAACCGATTCTGCAACAGATTTGGGTACTTCTGAAATGATATTATTTGAAATATCATTTTGTATAACATGTTATTTTATTTCATAATTGTTTCCATGCCTGTGAGCACGTCTGTAATAATATTACAGTGATTTCTCGATGAATGCGACACGACCAACCGCGTTATTCCCACCACTGGGGGAATTCCTCGATGGAATCAATCAAAACAGAGTAATCAGAAACTAAGTAGAGTACGTCGTTCTCATAGAAACATTACTGCATTTCAAATAATATTTCAAATAACATAATATTTGATTTTCTAATCATATAAAGTTACGTTTATTAGGATCCATAGAATTCCTTGGTTTACAATTGTGATTATAGCGTGATTAAGGTCAGACCTCGTACAATTAAAACCAATTCCATTGTATTTAATCTGTAACGCTGCAGATACGGTGACGGACGATGATTAAAATTGGTCGTCGACGGGAATGATTTCCCGCAGTCTCCAGACTTGTTCCGGTTGGTCGAGTCGCTCTGGAGGGGGGGGATTGTTCTTTCGACATGCTCGGCTACGAAAGAGCGTGGTACGCGGTGCTTGAGTTCGGATTCCCTTTAATCGACGTCGACTCGAATTCACGTTCCCGTTCTCCTTTGTACGCCATTGTATCACACACATTTCATTGTAAAATCGCCGTTAACCGATGGCTCTTGACATGATTTCACGTCCCTTTCTACTGTGTTTTCGTATTCGCCGCGCGTGTGCGCTTTTATACTGAACGAAGTTCGCCATTAAAGGGCTGGAAATTTCCAATGTACGAGCAGTTCTGTTTCCCACCATACTTTTTATTACTTATTTTATTTTGCTAGAATATAGAGGGTGTCCTTATTTAAATCGATCCCCTCGAATATCTCTAAAATTACAATATTTATGATAACGGAAAGTGTTTCAAACAAATGTTAAATTGTATCAAAGATCAAAGAGGGTAATGCAAATATTCCAGAAACGTGAATTTTTTCTGGTAATAAGGCGTATCAGGGTTTTCGTAATCTCTAGCGCGGAACGCACCAGGCACGAGGACGCT